GGAAAGTAAGCACAGTGTCAGACACCTGGGACGCAAGATCCCCAGGTGCTCTGTGCCTGGGTTCCTCAATGTATAAAATGAGACGATGGTAGTATCAGTCTCATAAGATTGTTATGAGGATTAAGGGAGACAATACATCAATAACAGTGGATCTAAAATTGAATCTAAAGAGAGCAAACCACTTAATAATTCCTCTTTGACTTCAGCCACCCTTGGATTTCTGGTGGATTTCTGCAACATTCAACTTGGCATCTATACCCTCATTTTCCCCTAGTTTTCTTATTTTTTCTTCACTTACATGTAATTTTAAGTTAAATCCAGAAACATACATCTCTTCCTGTGTAATATCACCTAATTGCCAGAAAAGAAGTCTAGCCCTTTGGAAAAATCAAGAAACTGGACTCCACTCAGCTTTTTTGCTTGTTGGTTGTGTAAATTTTAGAAAGCCACTTCACTTTGTGAGCTTCAGTTCCCTCACCTATAAAGCAAAAAGCTTAGATTAGCTTCATGGCTCCTTCTAGCTCAAAAATGTAATGATCTCATAGTTTATTTATGTTTTTTTCCAAAGTCACTGATAAAAATTTAATCTTACTTGACCACCTCATATAGAATTTCTTCCAAGCTATTCTACTTTAGTATATTTAAATTTTTATCCAATTCCTATCACTTTTCCCTTTTCATGAGAATCCAGGTAATGTCACCAATACCTTGTTGAAGTCAGAGTTCATGGCTATAACTCCTCCCTAAATGGTCCAACCAATGTTGGAAGATTCTACTGAAATTCATTCTCAGTGAATCCGTGCTGATTTCTAGCAATATTTTTTGTTCATTTCTAAAGCCTGCATGCTCTCTATAGGGAACTCTGAGAAAAAAAATTACCAAAATATATCATGATTATTGATTTATATTTATTCCTGATTTATAGTTCCTGAATTTTCTCTTATTCCTCCCTTTTTATCCTCTGACAGTCATCCCATTATTAATTTCTCAGAAATTATTAATAGTAATTACCTGATTTAATCTGTGATTTCTTCCAGAATTCAGAACAAAAGGCAAACTTAATTCATTATGGACCCTTCTTGTGGTCTTCTGCCCTGCTTGGGTGTGAGAGAACTTTTTCATATATTTGTATCACAATCTCCAGATTAGGAAACATTCTCATGAAGGCACATAAGGAGGCAGAAAGAGCTGGGCAGCAACAATCAACATCACTCCATTTTCACATTCTGTGCTTTATTCTTCCTAGTTCTCACAGGCTCATGCCAATCTTGTATATTGTCCAAGGCCTGCCCAAGGACCTAACACACCTACAGGTTTCATCCCTCTCACTAGTTCTTTCAACACTCACATGGCCCAATGCAGCCTACCCATCCAGTAGCTTCTTTGGAGATCTTGACTTGTCTGTCTTATTGAGACTATTATGTATTATTTGAATTATTTTTTAAGTTTTCCTATTGCTCTTAAGCTATATACCTTTTTATTAGAGTTTCTAACCATGAAAAGTATCTCTCTACTTTTAAAGTGGTTTTCCCTAAAGGATATAACTAGATCTTTTTTCCCTTCCTCCACTCCTACTAACACTATAACTGGGTAACTTTCTTCCAAAAGTCCACATTATTTCTCCATCCTAAAATGATTCTTCTGTTTTTAAAATGATGTCCAATGTAAATGTCCTCTTACACCTTCATGTTTTCACAGAGGAAACCACATGGCCAGTAAAGCAAATCAAGAATGTTTCAGATGGCCAGTTTTATGTTAAAAAGAAGGCTCCTAGTAGCAATGAGGTGATCCATAGTGTAAACCACAATACTGCTTCTGTTCCTCCCTCCTGTTCTTCCTACCTGGGTGCCTTTCTGTGCTTCAGACCTCAGATTCACAGTCACGCAGAAGACAGCAGAATCAAGATTATGAGAGGGCAGCTATGGTCCTTCAGGTCAAAAGACCTGCTTCTAAATCATGATTTTGCCTCTACTTTCTAATCCTATGATCACAAACAAATTTCTTCATCTCAGTTTCTGCACTGCTACAATGGGGAAAACAATATTTATCATAAAAGGCAGTTGTGAATATCAAAGGAGAAAATACACATATAAATACCCAGTGCATTAGTCACTGGCTTTACAACAGAATAAATAATTTTGAAAATGCACAAATCAAACTAAGAACTTTATTCTTCTCTAGCAGTCAGGCTGGAGAGGGTGAGAGAGGGAAAGAAAATGAGATTTATAATCTGCTTATTTCTGTGGTATTTAATTTTTATATTAAGCATTTTTACTCGTGTAATCTAAGGAAACTAGTATTAAAATGAATGGTTCACCATGACAAAAGGACTTCAACAGTTTGTTCTATCATTCATTTGCATTACATGTGTTTCAAAAATGTAAATGTAACTCTGAACATCATGCTCTGACTGTATGATTGCTCCATGCTATTTAAGAGGTAATACAATTGAGATTACACTTTATTAGAGTTCCATTCTCATGTTTAGCTCACTAAATGTGCCTCCTTTTTCTCAAGTAGGCTGTAGTCTCCTCATTAAACACTCATATACAAGCTATTCTATTATTGAAGTAGAATTGATTTACAAACTTGTGTTAGCTTCAGGTGTACAACAAAGGGATTCAGATATATAGATAGATAGAGATACATATTTATATATCTATATATATTCCTTCAGATTCTTTTCCATTAGAGATTATTACAAGATATTGAATACAGTTCCTTGTGCTATACAGTAGATCTTTATTATTTTGTACATAGTCATTTGTATGTCAGATAACTACTCATAAAATGGTAGCAATCACTGCAGTTGTATTCTAACCCACTACCTACTCAAACCTGCTACAATTGTGCCCCTTCCTACCCAGAGAATCTTCTCCACATCACCATCATTCTATGCCCAGTTCACTCTCTTGTACGTCTGCCTTGTTTGTAAATTGTTCTCAGATATCCTGGACAGGTAGACGTGGAGCCACAGGATCCTATTCATAAAAGACAAGAACTTTTTCTTTACTTATATGCCTCCGGGAGAAGGAAGTTTCAACAGTTTAGGATTCTTTCGCTGTGGTTCCTAGCTGCCAGAAAATGATGTCTACAGGCATTTTTCAGGTCCTTTCATTCTCTACCTCCCTGAGGGGTTCAGATCCTGATGAACAGAACTTGAAGATTAGAAAACTGTAGCATCCAGAAGAGACGGTCTCTCCAATGTCATCCAAAGTCTCCATAATCAAGCCAAGTCCGTGCACAGACAGGGACAGTCTCATCACAGTCTGCCACAGTGCTACCTACATTCGAAAGAAGCCAGGTACTCAGTACAGAAGTGATGACAGTACTGGCTCAGTGCCATCACAGTCAGGCTGAGGAAACAACCAGCACTCCCAAGTTCAAATGCATCAGGAGAGTCCATTTTGTTCAGGGTCCCTAGGCCTGAGAAAAAAATAAATGGCATACTAGCGTTCATCCACCCACTTACCCATTCACTCACCTCCATTCCCCAAAATTCACTCACATCCTAGTATATATACATATATTAAATCAAGATGCAAAAAAGATCTGAATCCTAAATTTGCATTACATTGCATGCCAAGTGCCAGATTTTCTTGCTGTTCTATTTGTAGTTACATGAGAGGTACCATGATTTGTAAAGATATAGAAAACATTTTTGATAGCTCTGGGCTATATCAAGTATTGATTTTAATAGCAGGCCTGATCTCTGAGAACATGCTGTGTGGCTGTGTATGAATATGGCTGTTGGTTTCCACTGCCAGATGAAATGATGATTAATCAGGACTCAGCTGTCAGTTGTTTGATGTTACTTGTGCTCTTTGCTAACAGCTGCATACTTCAAGCTGTGCTTCCTACATGTCAAACAGAAACCTGAAACCACAATTTTCAGAAGGGAAATTTCAAAGTTCTCATAGAGTATGTTGGAATAGCCAACATTATTTCCAATTAAAGTCTACTTAGTATATTATGTAACTAAAATCATTGTAAAGATAGAAATGTTCAGAATATGTGAGGTAGCCAGGAAAAACAAAAACTTATTAGATTTACATATGATCTGCACATATATTTTAAAATGTATAAACTTCACAAATACTCTATGCATAAAATGTTCCTTGATATGCTACTCTCACTTTCCTTTTTTATTCTGTAATAAATAAGAAGTGAAATATTATTGCAAGGTAAATTATAAGAAATGTACATTCTTTATTCAGAATAAACTTTAAACATTTTAAAGTAAATAGTTCTTCATCGACAAGGTCCTCAACACTCCCTAATTTGCTTTTTAATAAAAAATATCATAAAAATAGCATTTGTATGCTTGGGCTATGTATAATCCAAGCAGAAACAAAATGTTAAAAAGGCAAAGAAAATGTTGGTCAAGTTCTTTAAGGTTAGAAAGGTATATGCCTAAACTTGGGGTGGACCAAAAAGAATGGACTTTATTTTTTTGGCTTAACCTAGATAATAAGTGTCTAATTTGGACTGTCCATGTGGCATACAGTTCCCAAATTAAACTCTTTCAGAGACTGCCTTTTTTAGCAAAAGAGGGGGAAGTGAGAATTAGACAACACCCAGGCTCTTTCTATACAACCACAGCCAAGTTTGTCTAAAAACCGAATTTGGCTAATTCACTGTAGTTCATTGTTAGACTGAGTTATAAGAGGACTCCAGAAACTTAAAGCAGCCCCACTGATACCTGAACAGAACTGATTCTGGTCCAGGATGTAGTATAAAGTCTAGGAGAGAAAGAAACATGCCCTTCTCATTTCTCTTTGTCTTTTCCCAACACTTGATTACCTGCTTGGAACTTGTTTACTAATTCCGCAAATACAGTGTCCAGGAAAGCAGCTGGAAAAGCGTCCAGAAGAGCTTAGCGATCTGGAGCTGCAAAGGGAGCTGGGTGAAGGCCTGGTATGCTTCACCTTTCCTGTGCAGTCAGTTACCTCCGGATTGCTAAAAAAAATAATGGTACCTGCCTTGTCTCCCTCCCCCAGGTGGCAAACCTGCTGAGGCTCTTCCAGATCCCGCAGATAAGCTACGCATCCACCAGCGCCAAACTCAGCGACAAATCGCGCTACGATTACTTTGCCAGGACCGTGCCCCCTGATTTCTACCAGGCCAAAGCCATGGCCGAGATCTTGCGTTTCTTCAACTGGACCTACGTGTCCACCGTGGCCTCGGAGGGCGACTATGGGGAGACGGGGATTGAGGCCTTCGAGCAGGAAGCCCGCCTGCGCAACATCTGCATCGCCACTGCGGAGAAGGTGGGCCGCTCCAACATCCGCAAATCCTACGACAGCGTGATCCGCGAGCTGCTGCAGAAGCCCAACGCGCGCGTCGTGGTCCTCTTCATGCGCAGCGACGACTCCCGGGAGCTCATCGCCGCTGCCAGCCGCGCCAACGCCTCTTTCACCTGGGTGGCCAGCGACGGCTGGGGTGCGCAAGAAAGCATCATCAAGGGCAGCGAGCATGTGGCCTATGGCGCCATCACCCTGGAGCTGGCCTCGCAGCCCATCCGCCCGTTTGATCGCTACTTCCAGAGCCTCAACCCCTACAACAACCACCGCAACCCCTGGTTCCGGGACTTCTGGGAGCAGAAGTTCCAGTGCAGCCTCCAGAACAAGCACAACCACCGGCGCCCTTGTGACAAGCACCTGGCCATCGACAGCAGCAACTACGAGCAGGAATCCAAGATTATGTTCGTGGTGAATGCCGTGTATGCCATGGCCCATGCCCTGCACAAAATGCAGCGCACGCTCTGCCCCAACACCACCAAGCTCTGTGACGCCATGAAGATCCTGGACGGGAAGAAGCTGTACAAGGATTACTTGCTGAAAATCAACTTCACAGGTAAGCAGGACGCCTTTAATCAGTCATCTTCTATGATGCAAACAGTGGAATCAAAGAGGAATCAAATGCCTCTGCCCCAACCCAGAAATCTTTGTTTCAGAGCCACCCAAGCGATTCAAACTGAAATATTCCAAGAGGCAATATGATGGGTTTTTTATGTCGATTACTTATTTTCGAGTGAATATCTTGGCTGGTACACCATATGAGATTGAAGTACCCCTGGCTGTCCTGACCTGCGGTAGCTGCCTAGATGTGGGCTATGCCACATTTGCTCTCTTTCTTGTGATTAGCTGTGGGATATGACACCTGTGCCATGGGCGTTTAATCTTCTTTAGCAGAACTGACAACTCTCTAAGGAACACGAACTTCTAAGCTTTCCTTCTGGGTGATTTGAGCAAAAGAGTCTCATAACTTTCACAGTGGGGGTGAGGGAAAAAAAAAAGTCACTCTTTTTCCAGAGCCTAATTAGGGGAGGAAAGAGAAAACCACTCAAAGCCTGGTGATTCCAGCATTCGAGTTTATCTCTTCTGCCATACTGCAGTATTTCCATGTCAGGATTAAGAGTTGGGGATTTTTCTCAGATTATCTTATGAAATGACACTGTTTTCCTGGGAGCTTGACTTTAAGCAAACTGAAGACTGATGGAAGTCATGCTGATATAGAAGTGAACATCCAGAGGTGTGTTCAAAGTGGCTTTTGCTGCTCTATTTGTTTATAAATATGGTCTATACATTTCTCAATATAGCACTGTGTTTTAATGTACTACAAACATACAAAAACACACAACATCTTTAGAATTGCATGCTCTTCTACAATGCCTGTGATATCATTGCATTAAGGTACCAGTTCTGGGGAATTTAGCTTAAACCTAAATCATAAAATGGTAAGTAATATTACTGAGCACAAAAGATTTTGATGCCAAAAATATTGCAATGATAGAACACGTTCATTTGTCTAAACTGCTAATCATCTCCCATGCCACTAGGGCATCATTCTAGTCTGCAGAGTCTGTTTCAATTGATTTATCATCCAAGACATGAAAGTTTTTATGCTCAAATCATATTATCAGTGAAGCAAGTAGCAGTTCTCACTTCTCCCTTATAGATAATCACTCAGAAGTCAAATGGACTGAAAAAAATCAATAGTAGTACTGAAAGAAGACCTCATGACAACTGGCTTCTAGTCCAGAACTCTAACCCTTACTCTAGCCTAGAAAATAAGCACCAAAATTATCAGCCTGCATTTTAGCACGTCTTTTCTTCATTCTACACAGAGAGCCAAAAGTAGCTAAAATTGATTATGTCAGCATTCACTCCTATTCATCTGATGGATACCATCTCTTACCATTAGAACAGGCACTGAAAATGGTAAAGATGAAGCCTTTCCTATGCCTTGTATTCCCACAGGTGTATTCCATGTAAGAATATGTGCATGTGTGTATGTGTGTGTATGTGTGATATACATGTATACATGTCCAGGATTTATCTCAAAATCCCAGATCAGTTCACACTGATGACTCCAGAATATAAGAATGGACCATAGAGTCAATAAAAAAAAAAAAAAGGAATATCTTTAAATATAAATGAACTCTCAGGTATCTATAAATAGCATCTACAATGCACTTAATTCTTAAAGCTGAATAAGATAAGCAACTTCCTTCCCTTTCAGACTACCCTTGGGGTAATCATTCATCTTTATGCACCACAAGTATTAATTAACTCTGTTATTCTAGTCCATTACTCCTTGGTATGCAAATATACAAATATATTCACTCATGAACAGCTAATAGAACAAAAACTCTTGGATTTCAGAGAGCCTTTACAAAGTGTTTTTTGTAACCAAAATATTTTCCTTGATTTCACTGATTGAGTCTTAAATGGCAAAGAAAAATGCAGAAATAAGGCCATTATTTGGATAAATGAAACAACAGGATCTTCTTTTTGTCTGCCTTGTTCAATTACTGGCTTCGATTCTACAATTTAGTTTGGCTGTGGAGACCTGACCACAAAGTGCTATTTTCACCCTCTCAATTTGCTTGACATTACTACTAGTCACTCTCCATCTCTAAAGACAATAGCAGGGTGAAAAACAGATTCACACTACAGAAAAGAGAGGGAATTTAGACCAGCTACCAGGCACATATGCATAGCAGTTAAGACTTGGGCAAGAAAATGCCTTACTATGAGAGGATCCTGAGATGCTAAACTAGCTAAATATGTCTGTTGAAAGAATAAGGTTAACCTAGTAAACTACTGAAAAGTAGATCTGTTTTACATTTTTTTGGAAATAGTATCTCTAACTTTCTAACTTGAATACTGAGGCAGTGATTAGGCACAATAGTGAACACCTCAGCAGACCTTGCACAATCTTCTCTTGGATGAGAAAAGTCCTCATGCACCCGTCTGCTTGGACTCTGCATTTCCTCCCGGATTCTTCTGGCAGACAGTTGCAGTCAATCCCGTTAGAGCCCTAGTCCTCAGGATGGAAGCTCAAGGCCTCCTGAGAACACTTCTTCGTTCCTGGGTACATTCCTACTAACTTGTTCCAACACTGGCCACCACGAGTATTCCTTAAAGTTAACCAACTGTGAATATTCCTTTTGCAAAAGAGATTTTTGCAAAACTATGTATGCTATGTTAAAAAGACTTCTCCTGGCCTCCTGGCATAAGATCTAATGACTCTCTACCTCTCTAGACTCATCCTCTGCCACCACCCAGCATTCACCCTTCCTTTCATTAAGACTACTTGCAGATCACCATGAACATCATGCCTTTCTTTCTGCCTCTGTGCCCTCTGTATATGCTATGTCCTCTACCTGGAACACACTTACCCCATCCCCTTCTGTCAGGTCGAGCCCCTTCACTTATTCCGTCTCAACTGCTACTACCCTGGTCTAAGCTGCCAACACCCACCTCCAACCCATCCACAGCACAACAGCCAGGATGGCCTGTTACAGTGTTCAGTTCAGTTCCATCGCTCAGTCATGTCCGACTCTTTGGGACCCCATGGACTGCAGTACGCCAGGCCTCCCTGTCCATCACCAACTCACAGAGCTTACTCAGACTCATGTCAATGGAGTCGGTGATGCCATCCAACCATCTCATCCTGTCGTCGCCTTCTCCTCCCACCTTCAATCTTTCCCAGCACCAGGGTCTTTTCAAATGTGTCAGTTCTTCGCATCAGGTGGCCAAGCTATTGACGTTTTAGCTTCAGCAGCAATCCTTCCAATGAATATTCAGGATTGGTTTCCTTTAGGATAGACTGGTTGGATCTCTTGGCTGTCCAAGGGACTCTCAAAAGTCTTCTCCAACTCCACAGTTCAAAAGGATCAATTCTTCAGTGCTCAGCTTTCTTTATAGTCCAACTCTCACATCCATACATGACTACTGGAAAAGCCATAGCTTTGACTAGATGGACCTTTGTTGGCAAAGTAATGTCTCTGCTTTTTAATAAGCTGTCTAGGTTGGGCATAGATTTTCTTCCAAGGAGCAAGCATCTTTTAATTTCATGGCTTCAGTCACCATCTGCAGTGATTTTGAAGCTCAAAAAAATAAAGTCTGCCACTGTTTCCACTGTTTCCCCATCTATTTCCCATGAAGTGATGGGGCCAGATGCCATGATCTTAGTTTTCTGAATACTGAGTTGTAAGCCAACTTTTTAAATCTCCTCTTTCACTTTCTTCAAGAGGCTCTTTAGTTCTTCTTCATTTTCTGCCATAAGGGTGGTGTCATTCTGAGGTTATTGATATTTCTCTTGGCAATCTTGATTCCAGTTTGTGCTTCATCCAGTCCAGCGTTTCTCATGATGTACTCTGCATATAAGTTAAATAAGCAGGGTGACAATATACAGCCTTGACATACTCCTTTCCCGATTTGGAACCAGTCTGTTGTTCCATGTCCAGTTCTAACTGTTGCTTCTTGACCTGCATACAGGTTTCTTAGGAGGTAGGTCAGATGGTCTGGTATTCCCATCTCTTGAAGAATTTTCCACAGTTTGTCCTGATCCACACAGTCAAAGGCTTTAGCATAGTCAATAAAGCAGATGTTTTCCTGGAACTCTGTTGCTTTTTTGATGATCCGAGAGATGTTGGCAATTTGGTCTCTGGTTCTCTGTCTTTTCTAAATCCAGCTTGAACATCTGGAAGTTCACGGTTCATGTGCTGTTGAAGCCTGGCTTGGAAAATTTTGATCATTACTTTGCTAGCATGTGAGATGAGTGCAATTTTGCAGTAGTTTGAGCATTCTTTGGCATTGCCTTTCTTTAGGATTGGAATGAAAGTCAGAGCAAGTCACTCCTCAACTCAAAAAACCTCTTAGAGAGTCTCCCCATGTCACTCACAGTCCAAGTCAAACTTCTAACAGTGTTCTACAAGGTCCAAGCTGGTTGGCCTACCCTGGCTCCCACATCCCTTTTACTGCTGCTCCCCTGCCATCATCCGTTACCCCCATCTCTTGCTCACTTCACTCCAGCCAGCCTTGTTTCCATACTTAGGGCGTTTCCACTCCCAATTCCCTCTGTCTGGTAAAGCCCTTTCCCCAGACATCCCTATAGCTAATTTATTCCCTTATTTCCATCGGGCTTTGCTTAAATTCTAGTTTCTTATTGAGGCCCACCTGGCAATGCTTCTTAAGACAGCAATGCCCCCAATCCCTACCACATGTGCCCCTGTTTCCCGTTAACTTGTTGTACGTTTTTTTTCACTCCATGATTTTTTCACCTTCTCGTATATCAATAATATTTACATTTTCATGTTTATTCTTTATTGCTTGATCTTCACACTTGAATATAAACTCCTGAGAACAGAAATTATCAGTTTTATTCAGTGCAGTAGCCCCAGCATAATAAGTGTTCAGTAAATATTTGTTCATTATGACTAGCACTCAACACCCATATTCGTTTCCTTCTCTATCTCCATTACTAGATTGTGAACTTTTTCAAGGCAGAAAACATATGTTCCATCTCTGATCTCAAATACACAATGCATTTACTAGTATAGAGTG